GCTAACTGCTTCACTTGTTGGGTTACAAGGCCATGCACCAACATGCACAATGAAGTATAAATTACCAGAATGTAAAAATACTCCATCACTGATTTTAACCATTTGATATCCTGTTTTCTATAACAATGTATCATATTTTTCAAGTTCATAATATGCCTTAAATTGAAAAGTTTCAAATGTAAAATAAGAAGTACTTCCCTATGAGATGCAGTTGAGTAGTGGTATAAAGTAACTGATTGCAATAGCATCACTGATTATTATTCAGTAAATAAATATGGCTGTGTGTGCATGTCTAGTCCATACAGGTCATACAGTAGGTCTGCAGCAGGTCGCTCCTCTGCTGCCCTCTAGTGGACAAAGGCCTTCACTCATCATCCAGTAAATACTGTATTTGTTGAACCATGGTTAGTTACTGTGTTGCAGAAATAAAAGAAGAACTCACAAGCAAAGCCTGACCTTGATAGCTCATCACACTATTTTATTCAATTACTGACATCTCAGGAGAAGAGGAGAGCCTTGCAACTCTGCTGTTGGTAAACCACTGGTGCTTTTTTTTTTTCCTTTTTTCTTATTTTCAAAGCGTTGATGCAACACTGAAAAAGCGCTATTTCCAAACAAACACAGGTCCCTCATTTGTGATATGTAAGAGGCAGAGAGAATCTCACCTGGACAGTTTTGCATGAAACATACAAATGAAACAGGTTCAACCTTTTCTTTTGTCTTTTTGTAGTTTCACATAGAATAATAAATATCCATACTTATAAACACTTAAAAAAATCAAAATATTAAGTCACAGGTACTGGAAAAAGCTCCACTTTTAAATCACAATGATAAATGTACAAAACAATAGACATCTCATATAAATGTTAGTGGTTTTTGTTAGAGACTTAAATCTCATATCAGAAGAAATCAGTGGACAAAAACTAAACTTGGAGATTCAGTATTTCCTGAGGTTTATGGGTTCCCCCTAAAATGCCAGGAGAGGGGAATGGCTTTTGTGTTACCGAGGAGAAATTACAACAGGTCAAACAATACGGCCGGGATATTAAAAAACTATGAGCACTTATAAATGTAACCCCCCCCACCACCACCACCACCATTCAGGCTATAATAGTATGTTAAAACAGTTGATTAAAGTCGTCTTGCTCCTCAGTAAATCTTTTCTGGCCCACTTTGAGAAGTTGTGAAGCTCCCTTTTACTTAAGATTAAAATGCTGGAAGCCACCAGAGCACTCTGACCAAGGGGTCAAAGAGGTGACGTCTGCACTCGATGCAGTCAAACAAGAAATATCTGGGCAAACGTACACAGATTAGGGGTATGGGTGAGGAAAAAAATCGTCTGAATAAAATGCCAACAAAAAAGAAAGTATTCTGAAAAACTGTACATGTAAACATCACACTTTCACTGAGTCCAACACCAGAGGGGAGAATACAAAGTTTCACACAGGTTTACAGTACAGCCCCCTGCACAGAGCTACAGTCTCTGGTCAGTGCAGGAGAGGCAACAATTGAAATGATATAAATAACAATAGAAGTAATACAGACCACCACTAAATAATAAGTTAAAACAGGCAAGGGCTAAAACCACTTTGATTTTTTTTTTAACAGTGCTGTACCCACAGAAAAAGAAAGGTTTAAAACATCTTTTATCACTCTTTGTACAGCTATACAGTACATTTATCTGACCACTTTAGCAATCCACAAGCTACCAGGGCATTTTAATCAACACCAATAGATTACAATGTCCAGTCAATACAATAAGAAAATCCATTGGGCATTATTAGAAAAACAAAACAAATACGACAACATGACAACAAGTGGTTGTTGTTGATCACATTAACTCCAGCACGCAGCTAAAATGTTGCTCAGCACACACTTAAGACAGCATACAAATCTGCAAGCAAATGTCTGGTGGTGAAAATGGGACAAGATTCAACATGGTGTCACTGGAGTTTAGGCGTAAAGTGTAGAAGATCTGCTATGGCTACAGTAACGAACAAGCAGGTCAAAGGAGACGAGGAAGATGCGTGAGGACTCAGGTCCTGCTTACCTCTATGGTTATGTCTGTTTGAGTCCAGAGGGGTGTTTCATATGGCTCGATTACCAGCTACACCAGGCTTTGGTCATCAAATCAGGAAATTCTGTTTCATAAAGGAGGTTTAAATTAGTCTGACCTAAGTGGACTAGCTGGGTCAACTTGTTAGCAAAGTTTCTTATTCATACATCCAGCAGTTACAGACCAACAGCCATCGTGTTTGTGTCGTCCTGATGAACGTTAGTTCAGTACTTCCTCTCTTTTAGCTCTGGTTTTGGTTTTTTCCACCTCCTGAGGGAAATGTCTGGCTCGTTAGCAGTGGTAAATGCATCACTATGTTCACCATCTATATTTGCTAACTTTGGTGCTGAGCGGATGGTGTACATTGAACTAATACAGTAAAGTAATGAGCCAGACAGCTAAACAATGAGCTGAAACTCAGTGTAAAGCTCTGTAACACCAGAGGAACTGCTGATTCATCTGATCATTCTTTGCAGGCTCATAACTCTGTCATTCCATACATTGTTATTGTAAAATATTTATATATATACTGTAAGATAAGTTACCTGGCAGGGGTCCTATTTGGCAGTATGCTGCCTGTTATACATCTACAGCCACGTGTTCATTCTCAGCACTGCTTATAAGAAGAAATTGCGCATGACTTGTACAGGATTTAAACCCACAATATGCACGCAGCAACAGAATAAGTGTGAGTTGACTTCTACTTCTGCCAGAGTCTGGGCTCACCATTGACCTACAACATCCTGTTTAATGTGTGTTCAGGCCTCACATCTGTGTTTCAGAGTCAAAATAAACCAGATTTGACTTTGACTGCTCACATTAACTTCAAACAAGCTTTATGAAACAGATGAATCCTGGTTCAGGTTGCTGGGATAACTCAAGTCACACTATTGACAATCAGCGCTTCTTTTCCGGGGCCTCCATTTTGAAACACCCCTCAGACGGACCATGCAAACCGATTAATTCAAACCGAGCTCTGATAAGGTTTCCAAAAAGGAACTGTTTGCTGTTTTTCATAGTCATCAGTAAGCAGATTGAAAACTGCTTCTACTTGTGGGTTGTGTCAAGCTGTCCTTTGTTATAATCAGTTCATAAAATGTCTGGACTGAAGCTGATTTTCCAACTGAGGTAAAGACACTCAAATCACTGTTATGTCACCTTAATCCTGAGATTTTAAAGTGCTTCCAAACTTGCAATAGATAACAGAATTTAAATGTAAATGCAGCCCGATCATGACATGCTAATAAAATGCTAAATGCTCATTTAGGTCATGTATGTAAATCCAGCCTGGTAGTGGTTAGTAATTTATGAATGGCACTGTAATAGACAGTTTCATGATAAATATGATAGATCTGTGATAAATACAGAAATATATCTCTCCAAACTTTGACAGATCAATAAGGTGCGAGCCACTTTTGGCTGCATGAAGAGTCATCGTCCTTGTTTGGAATGTTTCAGCCTACTGAATAAAACCTTCACAGACTGATGTTTTACAAACCGGGTCACTCCACGTATACACAAACAGAAAATCAACATACTGTCAAACCTGACGCTTACATAACAAAGAAAAGAAAAAACACCACACACACTTACACAACTGTTTTTTGTGCTGAGTGACTCACTATTAAAAGTGTCTGGTGTGAGACTGTGCTCTAGATCTGCTTTGAGTACTTTTTTGTGTGCCCTCAGACCACACACACACACACGCACACACACACACGCACATGCTGTGTTTTCCTTCCTTGTGGGGACTTTACATTGACTTACATTCATTTCCTGTAGACTTATCCTAACCTTAACTCTAACCTTAAACCATGTTGCCACCCTAAAATTCAGGGATTTCAGTGACAGCCGAGTCCCCACAATGTGAGTGTGTTAACAGGTTTCGGTCCCCATAATGTAAGTAATACAAAGGCACACACACAGAGACACACACACCATAGCAGAAAGCTGAGAGTAAAGTGTGATGTGATTACATCTTTTTCAAAGATTGTCTCTTGCTTCTTTTCAAACAGTGTGCTTTCAGACACGATGTCGATGAAAGAAGTGGCAATGGGAGGGAGGGTTGGAAACAGCTGAGGTCAGAAGGGATGACAGACGGACGGACGGACGGAGGAGTTTGTCTGAGCAGCCCACACACACTCACACTGCATCCAGTAAAGCCATATGGATGTTAGGGTTACACTGCCGCATTCATCTGACTGTCTCTAACAGATGTACGCGTCCTTACACACAAACACTCACAGGACAATTCCTTCACAAAATGACCCCAAATAACTTTAAAATAAAAAAAGACGTGCAACATTAAGTCTCATTTTTTTCTGCCTGGTCCCATTTCCTTTTAGCACTGACTGATCCCAATACCTAAAAGTGCCTCGGTTGTGAGGTTATCGATAAAGATTCACAACAAATGACAACATTGAAATTGGCTACAATGCTGCATGGGATATCGTTCCTTTTTACAGTTTGGCAGTTACAACAGGAGGAGACTGTGGTAATGTACTCCCCTGTTAAAACTCCTTAAATGTTTCAGTAAGCACACAATTACTGATTATCTTCAATATTGCACATTTTTCCACTTATCCAGAAGCACAGGTTAGAAACCGAGAATCTAAACGATGTATTCATCTCGTCTTGTTTTTTCCCTGACAGGCAGCTGTGACCTCCATTTGCATACCCAACCTTCTTAAAAACCTCTTTCCTTTTAAGAAATGAGAAGTTGCCTTTGATAGAAACAGTCATAATAAAATAAGATCATGTTGGATAATGAGTCTTTGTCTCTTGGTAACCACACAGATGTGGAAACAAGTCCAAGACCACATGACTTTGACAGATCTGTTGGTAAAAATGAGTAAAAACACTGCTGTGTTTTTCATTTTGCATTCTCTAATTTGTTTTCTTTTGTGTGTGTGTGTGTGAGCACATCCTATAGTAGCTGTTGAGGGACTTTCAGAATGCAATGCTCCAAATTTTTCACAGAACATTTAGAAATGACTCAACCCAATCACATCCTGCCACTATACAGCATATTTTACATTTGTGTAAAAACAAAAACAAGGTACTGACACTAAATCACTGCTATTTAACTATTATTTTTATCCAAACCTCTTCACAAACAAGTCGACGTGGCGTTATGGTCACAGCTAATTTTACACCTCTGGTACCACCCTGGGTACCAGTGTGGATTATTTTTTTCACACAGATCATCGCTTCCTGAGACGAATGGAGTCTGAGGTGGTAAAATGAACTGAATGGAATGAATGGCTACAGATAACAGGGCACTAAGGTCAAAGTGAACTGAATGCATAAATAAACATTTTTCTGCCTGTGATATGTTCTGGCCCGTCCAAATACTTAAACATGTGGGAATAAGTATACGTTCCCTACCTACAGAACCCACTGTGTACTGCAGTATCACATTTGTGTCTTTGTATACGAAAGTCTGCCAAGACGTGACCGAGAGCGGCAGAAATGGACAGGCTAGGAGAGGATCTTGGCACGGTTTGGCTTGGACTCAGTTCTGCTGCAGGATCAGGATTTCCAGCTCGTCTGCTGAGCGGAGCAGGAAGGCTGCGGATTCCCGATACCCTGCGATGAGCTGCCTCACCGCTGTGACCTCTGGCGGGCTGAGCTGAGCTGAAGCTCCACCGCCACCACCTCCCTGACCATGACTGTTGGAGCTGGAGGAGGAGTTTGGGCCGACCGCCTTCATACTCAAATCTGTGGGACCTGTGACAACAACTGTGATGGATTAAGGAAAACTTACAATACAGGAGAGGTATCAGGGAGCATGACGTATGGCCAGGAAGTATCCTTATACTGACACATTTCTTTATGTTAAGAGTTCAGGCTACATAATGACTAAATATCCTAGAAACAGCAGACAAGAAACCTGCCTGTTTAGACACAGATATACTGAGAAGGAGGTTCTTACACATAGATTTTGCAATTAAGATGCTAATCAAACAATGATAAGTTTTAAAATGCCTTGTGAACTCATCTAACCCAAATCACAAAAAATCTCAAAACATATTTTCTGACTTACCTCTACGGGTAAGACAGGCAGAGAGTGTTGCTTTGATTAGCCAGAGTTTTGACAAATCTGCCTCTGACATCACTGAAAATGGCATTAAGCAAGACTGAAAAGTCTACAGCCATGCTTGCCTCTGTGACGCTGCACTAAGACAACGCGGTGCTTTAGTATACATGATGGTTTTAGCATGCTAACATGCTTATAGTGAGAATGCTAGCATAGCGATTGTTCAGCATGTTTACCATGCTCATGTGTTCACATTGCTGATTAGCATCAAACACAAAGCACCGCTGAGGCAGATGGAAATACCATTATTTTGTGGGTGCTATATTTGTTCTAGAGTGTTGGACAAATTGAAAATTTGACCTGAAGATGGTGCTTGAGGAAAAGTGAGGAGATCAGTTTGGTTGATAGCATTTAACTGCTGGGAACAGCTGCTGAGCTATTTCACACAAAGCCATAAATGTCAACCTCATGGTGAGGAAGAGCCATGGGGTCAACAAGGATTCATCTTCTGGACATTTTGTGCCAAAATAACAACCAAAGTGATGGAACGACCAACACAGTGACGTCTTCGTCCCTACAGTCTTCCTGTTATTTTGGACAATCCGCCAACATCACTATGAACAGTTTTCTCTGGAGAATACTCTCTTTGGAACATCCAGTGTAACAGGGACATTACTTCTTCAAAAACATGTTCATTTTTTCATTGCTGTAAGCAACACAAACAGAATCCATGTCCACTGTATTAAAGTGGAGACTTAAATGAGAAAATATGTTACATGGTTTTGTAATTTGGGTCCATCGGTTCTTTAATTTAAAAAGTAATGTGTGAACATATGGCATTACCATGTCTTTCTATGTCACATTAACTGGTTGCACTGGGCTGATAAGCGCTCCTCACCATTGGTTTGTGCAGAACCAGAGTTCTGCTGGTTGCTGCCGACTGTCCCAAATCCCCGCAGGTTGTAGTTGAGGCCTCCATTGGTGTAGAGCCCGTCTTGGGCAAAAGCTGCACTGGAAATGGAGAATCCTGATGGGGCCACAGAGGCCGGGTCCCTCGAGTTGACCTTCTCAACTGAGGCAGGCTCGTCCTGTGAGAAACAAATGTTTTCAGTTTGGGCAAAACATTGTAGATTGGTGCAGTTTGGCCTTAATGATGCATAGCCTTTCTAGCACATTCCCAAATCCCTGCTGGGCAGTTTCACAAACACCAACTGCCAAGGCATTTACCGTTGCTTGGTAGACATCGAGCCGCATCCTCTTGGCAGCGTTTCGTGTTTCGCTCTCACAGGCAGCAGCGAGAATGTTCTCAGCCATGGCAGAGGTGAGGTGAGGAGGTGTTGGTCGTATCTGGCAGCAAAGATTAGTGAGATTTTTGCACGTTATAAATGTGATATACTGAATGTTTTACTGTAGGCCTTTGAGTGTCAAGTGAATTCCTTTAAACAATATTTTAGTTGGGGATACTTTGTACCTCAAAACCGCCTTTTTTCATGCGGCGACAGGATTTGAGGTAGGTGCGGATGCGCTTGCGGGAGCGCTCCTGGAACTCTGGGAACTGGCGGCTACAGGACTCAATGATGGCCTGGATCTTCTCCTTGGGCTGCTTGGAGATAGGCACCATGCGGTCCAGATTCTCATCCACGAACAGACGCACAAACATCTGACAGAGACAGAGGAGGGGGAGGAGAGCGAGGGGATGTAGAGCAGAAAAATGGAATGGGGGTGCAGGGTAGTGAGAGATGGGTGTAATGGTCAAACACAAAGGAGAGGAGAGAGAAGGGTGGGGGGTCAGGAAGCATTAAAGTGGAAAAGAGAGGATAAAGAGGGAAGGAGAGCTGATTAAAATAGGAGTGAAAGTCACTGCTCATATGCAGGATTCATATTTCTACTGTTTGCTTATTCACTCGTTTGCATTTTTGCAACTCTACAGTTCAATTGCTTTTCATTAAACTCAGAACTGCACAGATAGTGGTTTTCACAGTGAACGTTGAATACATGTCTCTACTGAGAATGGATATGAAAATTTGTCCTCATCTTTAATATTTGTAAGTATAACGTCTATGGAATAATAATAGTTATAATTTCACAACAGGGATGGCTGATATGCAAATGTCTGAGAATGCCACTGTGTTGTATTCTCTGAATATGAATTTAATTATATTGCAATGACAGGTTACTTACATTGAAGGCTTTAAGTCTCTCAGGGTCCATACCCTCAGCGTCATTGATCTTGTCACTGTCATCGTGGTCGTCATGATCATCATCGTCATCATCAATGATCTGTGCCCGACCAGAGGTCAAGTCCTCTGCGCTCATGCTCAGTTCAGTCTTTACAGAGTCATAGCTCCCTGAGCTGTAAGGAGGGGACTGGAAACACATAAAACTATCATTGAAGATGATACAGGCGCATGAGCCGCTCTTTTTAACTACTTGTTGAAAAGGTTGGCACTACATGAGACAGGTGAAGAACAATGTATTTGAGATAATCAATAATCAGATCAAGTTTCTGTTCTTGCCTTGTTGGAGTACTCTGTTTTGATAGGGAACTTCCTGTTGGGGTCTGTGGAGTAGGAGTTGGGCGGAGAGCTCCCCGCTGGCAGCAGTCTGTCGCTCAGATTGACTGGCTGCTGATCCTCCGAGGAGGATGAGGGTGAGGTGGTACTGAAGTCCAGGGGAGCGCTCAAACCATTCTCCGTCACCTCCCCATATGGAGCCCCACCATCTGCGGGGTTCCCGCCCACAGACAGTACCTCGGGCGATGTCAGGGCTGGCAGCCCGTTGGCACTGCCGCTCTCTGAAGAGTCGTCATCTGGTAGAGGGGAGCGAAAAAACGCAAACACAGGGATGAGCTGTGCAGATCTTTGTCATCAGCACCATTTAGTATTCATGTACCTTTGTTTACTACAAGAGGCACTATTTCTGTCTGTAACAACAGAGTGGGTGTGTTACTACGAGGGGGTAGGAACTTCCTGCCTCATGTTGTGCTTTCTGAAGCTCTCAAGGAGGTTTCGGGCTCAACCGTCAAGACAAATAAAAGAGGACAAGGGAGGAATCTCAATATTAACAGGAAAGAAAGAGGATGAGGAGGAACTGATGGGGGAAGGGAGCTTTCACTCCCCGGTGTGTGCACTGTATGGCCATGTACTGATTTCACTGATTTCTACATGTCTTATGTGCACACCTATGCTCACTGGAACAGAGCAATAGTCCTTCTCGTTGATTTGCCCCAATTTCAATCCTTTGTAAAGTGGTATCTAATCTGTGAAAGTTAATATCAGCCTTTGTCCTAGTTCTCTAAGCCGTGCACCCTGAGAGAGAGGGGTGCACATTGGACTGGGGCTGCAGTGGTGTCCCGTCCCCTGTAAGAGTGGATTTATTTGGATTTGTTCACTAAGAACAAGGCAGGCTCTTTCCTCCATAACACCACTCTGTACCCATCCTCGTAAATGAGTTTACCTTCAAATCCCAGATGTAAAATGAAAAGGCACACAACAAATTACAGAAAAAATATCCTGTACAGTAAATGGTCTCATACTTGCATAGCACTTTCTCTGCATTGAAGAACACTCAAAGTGCTTTCGCACTATTTGCCCATTTTCACATCAGTGGGTAGCTATCGGGAGTAGCTCGGGGTTCACTGTCTCGCTCAAGAACACTTTGCCATGGGGACAGGAGAAATGGTAAATGGACTGTATTTTATATAGCGCTTTCTCACAGTGTGTTGCACTGGCCAAAGCGCTTTACAGAAGCTCATACACCATTCACCCATTCACACACCGATGACGACAGGCTGCCATGCACCGGCCCTAGTCAAGCCACCGGGAGCAATTCGGGGTTCAGTGTCTTGCTCAGGGACACTTAGGCATGCGGGGAGACCAGGAGTCAAACCACCAACTTGCTGGTCAGGAGACGACTGCCTTACCTCATGAGCCAAAGCTGGGAACTGTACCAGCAGCCCTCTGGTTACGAGAAGACCTGCTCTGCCTCTTGAGACACAGCTGCCCCTACAGTGCTGAGGTAAAAGATGACTAGGCAGCTGCATTTAGCAATGTCTTACCATCCTCTTCTTTAATGGCGGCTGTCGGGTCACTGACTCTGTCTCCGTTGGTTGGACCGGGCTCAGGCACTGGAGGCTGCTCAGCTGCGACCCATGTGGGCTCAGCACTGTTCATCTCCTCACTGCTCACCGAACTGTCATCCTGGAGAGAAAGGGGCTGTTAGAGTAGAAACAAAAACCAAATGACTGTCAGGAGAAAGATCATCACACAACTTCCAAGCTTCCTATTTGTCCCTAAGAGACAGGGAGGAGGGAAGAATGAAACTGTCATCAGGGGTCTTTGCATCTCTTGTCTCTTTGGTGTTAAAGGACATGTTCCCATTTTTTAAAGTTTATCTTAAAACAGTACTGCCTTATGCACAATAACTGTGGCCTTGGTAATTGATCCCACTGTCCATGCTACCCATACTAGCATGCAAATCCCTCCCTAAAGAACATTTTACTGTAAGTACTGGAAAATACCCACAGTTTGGTGTATAAATGCATGTGACAGCTCATTTGAAGCTAATATAAGGTTTCAGTGGTGCATGTTAGACAAGTCAAGTGGATGTCTTCCAAAGATATAGAGCTTTTAGCATGAAATTGTGCTTACGCTGTTTTTTCTTGTTGCGTTTATGGCTGAGGGGTTTTATGACACAAATTCTCATATTAGCTTTGAACTTTAGATTTTAATTTTGGACAAAACCAAGGCTGTGGTTTTTCGAATAGCTTTAAAAAAGAATTTCTTTCAGACCAGTATGATCAGGAGGACAAATGGTAGTGAACAGTAATGCTTTCAGTGTACCTGTATGACTTGCAAAAACGTGAGCCCATCCGTTAAAGGGCATTTCTTTAATTTAACTCCTAACAAGCTGAAGTCTGGCAGCAGAGACAACTAGGAAGTGCAGGATCCTCCTGTTGGAACACGGCTACTTTTAACCCTAAAGATGCTTGTTGTAGTGTAACACAAACATGAGTAAACTGTGAGGACAGGGATTAGAAAAAGAGAGCAGAATAATCTCATAAACTGAGAAACTCAGTACATTATCTGTGTGCTAACGTGCACGACCACATTTTAGACTGGCAACAAGCTTCACAGGCCTATTCGCTTTAGTAAGCCAACATGGACAGTGGCTTTTCTTTGGTCTCCATGCAGCATAATGCCATAGAGGTACAACTACGACTGTGTGGTGGGAACAGAGCAGAGTTACTGTACATCTCAATTCTGGCCACACAGGGACACAAATAGGCCTAAACCCCCCCAGGAATATGCATCCATAGGACCAAAATGTTCAGCGACAGCTCCATTAGGTACCCGGTGAGCCGTATAGTATTAAAGAAAGACAGGCAGACAGAAACCAAGAGACAGAGAGAGTCTCTAATTATAGTTTGGAAGTTTAGCTTCATTAGTACCCATGCTTTAGGAAAATAGATATTTTATTAAGTGGGAAGTTCACTTTTAAAACTGCCAAGGTTCCTGACACAAAAGAGTTTAGAAAGAATGAAGTTAAAGTGCTTGGTGGCTCTTACTCAGCTAGTTTAGAACAGTAACACCAAGGAACAACACAATATTAATATAGCACATAGTAAAATTACAACAACTATTTTGACAGTAGGTTGAAATATTTTTAAGCAAAATAGCTAAAGGTTCTCTGATTTGCACTTCTTAATTGTGAGAATTTGCTGCCTTTTTTGGGTTTTCATGTAATATTAAACTGAATATTTTGGGGTTTTGGACGGTGGCAAGAGACAGAAACACATGTTAAGCACATCACTATAGTGTTTAAGAACATTTTTCTCTATTTTCTGCTATGGTAAGGATCATTAGATTTTACTGGTGGTTGTGCAACTGGTCCTGTGTCCAAACTAAATGGCCATAATAAAGTGCAGTACAGTGAAGGTGTTTGCTTAGGATAGAAAACAAATCTAAAACATAACTTTATCATCCCTTTTTTCAACCATAAAGTCTATATATTGTTTCTGTACCATAAAAAGAGGCAAAGCTAAACTCTGACAATTACCAAAAGCTCTGCAAAACAACATGCAAACACACAAGAGGCAACAGTGATGGTTCACATTCACAATTTGACTTGTTAGATTTGCCAACACACCTGCTGCATTTTTTAACCAGCTGCTGAATTGACCCCTACAACCGTGCTGCACACATATGGAACAAATGTTTACAAGTCTCCCTACCACACTGAAACACCCCTCAGTGATGGTTAATTACTAAATTAACAGATTGTTCAGTGTCAGTCTGCACACAGATGCGACCAACATTCTGAGCATTTGTTCATTTGTACTCACCCACAGATCAGAGCCTGGGTCGTGGTTCCAGATAAACCTAATTATGTGGGAGTGGGCTCTACATTATCAGCATCATCAATACCGCTCGCTGCACTTTAGCAACAGCGGTTCCTGTGGGTCTCTGTCACTGCTACACATGGACGTGGGAGGGGTCTCGCCTGTGATGTAACTCTACACAGAGGCTTCACTAATCCCCCCTTTCACACTGGGCTCCTCCTCCCAGTGGGGGGGGGGGCACTTTGATTGTTTAAAACTCCATTAAAAGTGGAGAGGAAGGATGCACTCTTGTGCTTCCACAAAGCCATTCTCCCTACAGTCTTAATGATGAAGCTAAAAAGAAATTAAGCAGAGGTGTTGCACAGTCAAAACAAATACGATGATGTGACTAAGCAGAGCTTAACAGTGGCAGCTTCTTCCTAATGATCACAGCACGTTGTATCTGTGGCCACACTTCACAAATATCCATTGTCCAGTTGCAGAAAGAGGCACTTACCCTTTCAGTGGCAGTCATGCACTGCAGTTTCATTTGTTTCAGGTAGGTGGCAGTGAGAGGCATGTTGTAGTCAATGAGGTCTGGGACCAGTGAGGTTGGCCTGTCATTTTCTGACCAAAAATAAACAAATAAATAAAACACCAATGATGAAAAATCATAATGAATAAGCTTTGGTACATTTGATCTAAAACAGAGGAGGAGCAGTGGGAACAAAACTCTTTGAGGTGTTTGTACTTTATATGAGTATTTCTGGTTTTACTGTTGTTGTTGTTGTTGTATACTTGCACTGCATTCAAGGAGAAGTATTGCACTTTTTGCTTCACTGCATTTGTTTGACAACTATAGTTACTGGCTTCTTTTCAAATTAATATTTTAAATACACAACATAGGAGCAGTTTATAAAATATGTCTTAAATTAAAGAACCAAACTGTATATGAAATAGTTAAAATTAGCTCCACCTTGACCAGCTACATCATTTAGTACTGCTTATATATACTGTAAATACATCAATAACATTGATCAACCAATAATATAACACTGACAGGGGGAGTTTTCCAAAATGAGTACTTTTATTTTACTGTAGGTATTTTAAGCTGCTGTTAATACTTATACACTTTTACTAAAGTGAAAGGACTTTTACTTTCAGTTAAGTGTTTTATATTGTTAATGTTACTACTACGTACATTGCCACATTCTCAAAAACTACCATATACAGTAACTGAATCAACAGATACAGAATATTAAAGTTACAATATGTAACTTAAGGTAGCACTAATATAAAATTCCAAAAGATTCTGCTCTGCCCAGCGCTCCCCTTCCCTGCTCCACTACAGTCTCCTACGCTCTGTCACGCTCTGCCCAGCTCTTCAAATGTTTGCCGTTATGAAATTAAAATAAATGAGAATGCAACAAAACTTACTGATCAGGCAGAAATAATTGAAAATCTCTGATTTTTTTTAGAAAGGTCAGTCCTGCTCAAAACCTTTTAGAAGCTAATATCTCTGCACTGCTGCCAGTGCTGTTCAATGAGTCTGGGTCACAGGAAGCTTGGACAGCTCCTCTTCACATTAAGTGTTGGAGTATAGTTCTATAACAAAAGTTACATACTGTAGCTTTAATAAACAAGTTAGCTGACATTTATCATGCTTCTATTTGCATTGTATTACACTGCTCATGTGTTTTTCATCTTACCTCTCTCATTACTAGTTTGTCACTGTGTGCTGCCCCTCACAAAGAATCAGTACCACTGCTCCACACGCTCATTTCTCTACTTGGCATGTCCAATTAGTTATTATCAGTTTCTCTTTGCAATGGACCCATGGACCTGGTCAGCAAGATTCTTTTTAGTGGCTCTATTTCTTCTGTGAGTCCCTCTGTAAAGATGTTCTCTTATGGCAGAACTGCTGCAATACAAATAGCTAAAGTCCAAGCAGTGGCCTCTACTGTAGCACCTGATTGAGGGCTGTCTGCAGCCTACATACCGGCCACTAGAGGGACCCTGTGACCATTAGTGGCTCTACACAGAGACGTGGTTCTCTTGAGCCTTTGTTACATCATGTCCGTGATGGATCTATATACTGTGTTATAATAATGAGGGTTCAATTCAAAAACTCTTCAAATTACAAACAACTAAGTTCACATCAGCCCACATTTAGCATCTGCCATCTGTCAGCTACAAACTGCACACCTCCATCTTTTATGGCATAAATAAACATTTCTGTGACTCTCATGATTAAATTAATTCAGAAATTCAACAATCATATCTGACTGGTATAGTGTAACATTGGCTAGTTTATATTATCTGAGTGTGTATAGTAATCATTATGTCAAAGGAGCTAAGTGTTATCTGCTGTTAAGTGCTGATTTCAAAAGCAGCATGTCAGTTAATGATGTCTCCAGAACAAGCGAGCTATCTACAGGTCAGATGTGTGCCATTACCTTTGAACTCTGCAGCACTGGGATTGATGTGCATCCTCTTCTGACACTCTCCGCAGCTCATTAGGAACCGAGTCACCGCCTCTCTGGGCAGGAAGGCGTAGGTCTCTGCTATCTGAATGGGGGAGTGAGCACCGGGGATCTGGGTTATGGCAAAGAATGGCTCTGGATGTGGCTGAACTCAAACTGTGTGCAGGTGTTTTTAAGGTACTGTGCATGTGTGAAAGTTTGGGGTCAGTGATTATGTGTTATCTCAACATGGCATGAGAAGGAATCCTCCCTCTAGGCGCTGGCTCATGCTTTCAGATGGCCTAATTCCAGCTCCAGCCCTCTACATATTTCTGTTTGATACCTAAAAACGTGTGGTGGTGTTCATCTGCTCTGTTTTCTCTTTCTGCTCTCTCATGTGCAATTCACTCCTATCTACAACTCTCTCTCTCTCTCTCTCTCTCTTATGCTCAGCCTTTCTTCGCTGTTTGTTTCCACTGCTATGCTACCCCCTCCCCTCCTCGCCCCCTCTGGCGTTTCTCTGTAAAATGCGACCTTCATGTGACCATGGAGGAGAAGCAGGTGTCCACCACCACTGCCACAACTTCCCACTCCCTTTGCCTCCCCCAAGCCCCTCATGGTCCCTTGAGGCAGCAGAGAGAAAGGGGGCACCCAGAGGAGCACGCACCTCCCAGAAGGCCACAGTGACAGCTCCATATTATGCCTTGCCCCAGTGATGCTGCCTCCTCAAAAGGGTACACTCTATGAGACATGACAGGACCTCTCTACAAGGCAGAAAGAACTGGTTCTATGATTTTATTTTCCATCCTGGGGAGAGGGAAGAAAGGAGGGATACCAAAGCCCTGCTAAACCCCTCAACACAGACCTAGCCCTAAGCCACACCAAGCCCCTTGGTTTGTTAGGACACCACACCCAACCCCAGACCACACCTCAGTTGGTAATGTAAACTCATAGTCTGCCTTTGTTCCAGAAACATCAGTGATGTGTCAGGAAAAAGACCCAAGTGGGCTGAACACCACAAATACTTTGTTTTCCAGTTAAAGGTGGTTGTTCCCTTGGTAACTCCTGGTACTAAAAATTATATATTAAGTTGGCAGAGCTAACCAGCATGCCCTACTGTCTTTCATAGACAAAAGATATCTTGTTGTTTACTGGGTTTAACACTTGGCTTTAGTCAGCGGCTCCTTCAAAGTTTGGAATAGAGTAGTGAACTCGCTTTGGGCACCCTTTTTTCAATAAAAACAATCCTACTGGGATCTTTTAAACCATACCTGGGCCACGTTGCAACAAAAGAAAAGGAGAGGTTGTCAGTATACTGACATTTACACGCTCCCAAAAAATTTTTTTTATTTGATGCAAGGTCCTTTTCAAAAAAATAGCAAAAAAAAGCTGACTATACTATCTGTGCAGACAAAAAAATGGCAGCTCCATCAACAGTCAGAGAACCCATCACGTGTGATATTGCTCCACTGGGGCTGGAGTCAGTCCCAGCTGGAACTGGGTGAGAGGCGGGGTCCACCCTGGACAGGTCGCCAGTCTATCACAGGGCTGACATGTAGACAAACACACACACTCACTCCTACAGGCAATTTAGAGTCATCAGCCACCTAAGCTGCATGTCTCTGGACTGTGGGAGGAAGTCGGAGTACTCGGAGACAACCCACGCAGGCACAGGGAGAACATGCAAACTCCATGTCTAAAGGCATTAAAGAAAACATGTATTGCAAAAATGTAAATTTATTAAAACACCACTAAGAGACTACAGCCACACTTGCAGCACTGTGATTAGACTCAACAGTGCCTTGTACTAAATGCTAACATTAGCATATTAACATGCTAATGTCAAGCAGGTACATTATAATATTTACCATGTTCACCATCTTTAATATGTCCGCTAGCTAAGATTTGTTAATTAGTATGAAATACAAGGTACAAGTGAAGCTGATGGGAAATTTCATTGGTTTGCTTAGTCATACAACAAAGTATGGGGAAAAGTGGTTTGCTGGTGGCACTGGAGGAAAAGATCCACATATTAAGTCTCATCTTCTGTGCACTATAAATGTTTAATTTTGTGGCAAAAAAGGGGGAGGGTGTTTTTGAGTCTGGACCAAAGTTGTGGACTGACCATTGCCATCTCAAGAGCCTTGCTGCTAGTGTGGCTAAAAATGTGGTCACTCACATCCTACATGATTGTTTAGGACATGATGCCTTTTACACAGAGAAAAAATGTTGGGGGATAATGGGTGTCATTTTGTATGTACATGGTCTGCTAATTGTAGACGGAGCTGTCTTTGCCTTACTAGCAGCAAGAGTCCATTCTTTGGTCCAGACTAAAGGATCACAACAACTATTGTATGAATTCCTATGAAATGTTATGGAGAGGTTTATAGTCCACAGAGGGTGGACCATGAATCGGCATGGTTAAAACTTTAATTTAAATACCTGCAAAACGTGTTACATTTCCAGCAGCCTCAGCTGCAGCCCTGCTTTGATTAGTGATAATTAGCAGTGGTGGAAGAAGTAAAAGTAGCATTACAATAGTGTAAAAATACTCTGTTCAAAGTTAGTCTAGCATTCAAAACAGTATAAACATCAAAACATACTTAAAGTGCTAAAAGTAAAAGTACTTTATGGAGAATGGCACATTTATTAGTAATGTATATCATATTAGTGAAGTATAATTATTGATGCATTATTGTGTTCATCACTTTAATGTTACAGCTGGTAAAGGTGGAGCTAGTTTTATTTATAATTTACTGGATAGCTTGTGAAGTTTCCACCAAAGATCAGTAAAGTCCTATGATCACACTGTATTTTGTTTTATTAAGCTGATTCTGAATTAAATATAGTGAAGTAAATAGTATAATATTTGACTGTGAAATGTAGTGAGGTCAGTTACAGTTGTATGCTGTTGCTTTGTCCTACAGCTGTGGAAATAAAATAAGATTTTTTACTATCAGCAGCTTCAATATAAACAAGGAGTACTTCTGGCAAAATTAGCTGCAGCCGGCTGATTGGACTGTCTCACCGCTTTGTAGGTCTTCTTCTGGCCTGCGTGCTTGGGTGCTCTGCCAGGATCAGCACCCATCTCAACGTGCATGGCATAGATGATGTCAAAGAAGTCTTCAACCACAGCTACACGCTTCAGGGATGAGTTGTCTTGGGCCGAGTTCCCATCCGAACACTGAAACACAGACAGAGACTGGAGTTTAGTTTCATGTCCTGCCTGGGGTTTACAGAGACATGTACATATCATGTACAGGACAAGATGTCTAATGTTTTGGCTGCAAATGGAGATTTAAGGCATATGAGTCATGCATCATGTGGTTAGACAGTCTCAAGGTGTCGTCTCCAGCACAAAGGAAAAGTGAAACAACCTGCAATCACCCAGTTTTTCCATTTCTCTTCTGAGTAGAGAAGTCTTGCCCCAGCTGGGTCAGCAACCCCATCCCTTCCATGTTTAAAAATAACAACAGCAACACTGTACAGACCAACAGTCTTTCCCTCCACCACCTCTGGCAGCCATTCTGCCTCCTGTGCTGCTGACCCTGTCGCCATAGAAACTGCTGCTTATTTCTCTTGGGCAGGTGTGCTGGGCAAAGGGTCATGTGACACCCCATAGAAGTGGGATTGCCAGGACAACGGCCTCCATCCGCCGCACCTAATGGGGCTTTTCTCTCCTTTCTACCTCCATCTTTTTCCTAAGTTACTCTTTAACCCCTCATTACCTCCTTACAAACAGTCAGCACTTTGCAATTTCCTCTAGAGTTTATCATTATATTCCTGCACCTGCTGATATTTTAATCACAAGGGTCCCAGCAAGCATAAAATGGAACAAATGGATTTGGACATTCAATTTTTTTTTTCCCAAGAATCCACCTCGTCCATGCAAATATACAGTGACATTTGCTCAAGATTGAGTTCTAGGTGGCAAGTGATCTCTTTTTGTTTGTTTGTTTGTTTGTTTGTTTGTTTGTTTGAGCGAGAGGAGAGTCCTGAGTTAAAAAAGTTGTCCCCCTGGTACTGAGGAATCACACTTTCCCCCTCCTATCCTTGACATTTCTGCACTATTCCTGGGATTTGACATTTCATTTTCTCATTTTCCTCCAACCACGTCCTCTCTCCTGCCTCCATGTCTTCATCCCCCACCTCTGTCCCGTCTTTCTTTCTTTCTTTCTTTCTCTCCCCTCCTCTTCTCTCTCCTTGTTCCTGCTCTCCCAAGTGCGAGGTAATGATCGTTGCCATAGCAACTAAAACAGGCTCACAGAGCGGGTTTGTTTTAATCCGGCCCTCTCCCTCTCCCTCCCTCCTTCTTCCTCTCCCTCTCCCCTGTCAGCATGGGCTAAACCTAATGATATAAATGAAATAATAGAGATCCTCCACCTCATCATCACAGCTGTAATCTATCGCACTTGGAGGTATCATCATCATTCCCCCAGTGGCACCACTGCCACCACAGTCATTGCTGCTGCTGCTTCCTGGGACAATGGTGTCAGGTCCATTCATGCTGGATTTAGATAATCTCATACAACTGTGGGGTATACAGTGCACCCACACTCCTCCACTGAATTTCAGCCCAGCAAAATATCCAGTATACCCACCAGATATTCTGCTGGAAGGGTTTTCTCCATGAATCCATCCAGAAAAGAAACACATACATACTGAGCACTGCAGCCAACAAGACCTGGTAGCAAACTTAGGTCATTCTGCTGAATTCTGAATCTGAGACGAATGTTTGCAGTGCTTTGGCCTGCAAATGTGATTTTCATTCTGGATTATTTTCTCAGTTAAGTGGTTAATCGTTTGGCCCGTAAACTGTCAGAAGAATGTTGATTTTATTTATAAAGCCCACCACCGCAAATCAATCTGTACAGCATACAACACCCAATGGCCCTCGAAAGCGATAAGGAAACAGCCCCTTCTAAAAACATTAATGGGAAAAAAACCTTGGGAAGACCAAATGAAGATGGATCCTCCTGTCTGTCCATCCTCATCAGGATGAACAGACATGTACCTAATAGAGCACACAACAGATTTACAGTTTCAACAACCAGGATGGCAAATTAATTCTGATACCATAAAGACAACACAATCAATCAGTTACTCAAGAGAAAAATCTACAGACAAATTGATCATAAAAATAATTGTTAGTGGCCCTAATGCTACTTGTCCTCAATTAAGAGGCTGCAGCCAAGACTGAATTTCTTTCATTAGCCATCCGCTACCTGAAGGCCTTTCTGGAGACTCCTGCACCGACAAGCTCTTCGGTTTCTAAACACAAGTCTACAGGGAGTTAAACATTCACCTCTAAGCACAACATGCTCTCAGCGTGTGGATTTGTGTGCAGCGCGTAAGTTTAAGATAGTACATGTCTACCAGGCAGAGCATGTAGCTGAGGCATCTCAGAGGAGAACAGCTGTTGAATGGTGCTGCAGTTATTCGGTGTCATCAGCAGTATGCCGTTTAAAGAGCAAAGGAGACATGTCAGCATCCCTAAGCGCCAAGAACGCTGCAAAACTCTCGCCCTCCTTCTCTCTCTCTTCCTAATCCTGTAGGACTTTGCTTTTGCTCTCCCCAGCCACTGTACAACCAGCCCCCATCCCCTGCGCACTCTCCCTGTCCCGCACCAAACCGCTCTGTTGCTAGGAGACTGGAGGGGTTGAGTTGACTGCCCCCACCCCCGCTGGCAGTCGCTCTCTCTCTCTCTCTCTTTCTCTCTCTCTCTCACACACACACACACACACAGTCACTGGGGGGAGAGAGGAGCAGTCCTGCACACAGGCAGGTCAGGAGGAGGAGGAGGAGGAGCAGGAGGTGGAGGGGTGGGGTGGGGGTTCACGGAAAGCAGCTGGGTCACAAAGACAGGCCGGCAAAGATAGAAGAGGTGCATCGCACCAGAAATTAGCTCCATGGTGTGGGCAAGATAAACAAGAGTGTGGCATGCAAAAAAACCTAAAAAGCAGAAATTTAGCAGTGCAATGAACTTTTAAAGTCAAACCACAGTGCAACGGACATGTAGATGGCCACACAACAGGAAGCTTAAGTTGTGGCAGCATACAGGCACTTTCTGTGTGTGTGTATACTTCTATGGCTATCTCTGTGAGGACCAGTGTGATGGGAGTGAGGACATGTTGATAAAGTGAAGGCATTTTAGCCGATCATCACTTTCGGACACACCTTCCAGAGTTAAGACTGGGTTTCAGGGTTCAGGTTACAACTAGATTTAGGTCGGGGTTAGAGTTTGGTATTCAGTTGTGATGGTTAAGGATAGAGTAAGGCCTAGGGAAACCACTGAGTGTCCTCACAACCATGGAACCACGGAAAGGCCAACGTGTGCGTGTGTGTGTGTGTGTCTGCATGCACCGAGCTGACTGTGTCAACAGTACTCATTGCTCAGATTATCTCACTGCAGATGTGACAACAGGTCATCTTTTAAAGCCCCATCTCTCCTCTGTAAATCTATCAACTGGCTAATGGACACGTAAATGGGACGATCCTTGTTTCCTCTGCGTGTGTGTGCCAGGGGGAAGGTAGCACAAGATAAAGGTTCATACTACAAAAAAAATCTGGGATAAAAGAGACTATTACCTCCACAATGGCCCCAATTTTTTTAAATGAAAAAGCCCATCCCTTTCTATATTTTCCTTTTCATCGTCATCCTCCATTCTCTGCTTCAGTTCATGAAGCCCCATCATTAAATCCACATTAGGTGCACTGGGCTCTACCCCTCTGTCTGACGTCCGTGTCTGTATGTGTGTTTCTCTCTCGGCTGCTCCCATGATGAACGTTATTTGATAGAGTGTGTGACATCCCCAATATCCCACCGAGCCGGAGACACAGACAGTCCCACTGGCCCTGCAAACTGGCACTGTTGACGTTCCAGTCACTGACTCAACATGGTATGTAAATGACTCGCACATACATCATCACATCCCAGAATCCACTTCCCCATATTCAGGCTATTATCATACTGTCCCAGTTCGTTAAAAGCTGGCCTTGCAAAGGTATTAAAAATGACAGTGGTGTGGTAGGAAGATTATTGTCATCTTAAAGACCCTGAGTGTGTGTGTGTCTGTGTGTGTGTGTGTAACAGAACTCATACTATCTCCCACACAGGGGGGAGGCCCCCGGGCCAGTTAAAAATGGTGTTAATTTCTCCTCCTATGGGAAAGCAAAGAACAGTCTCTCCATGGCAACAGAGAGGGTGCTGAAGGAAGGAAACACAGAGCATGCGATCAGCGACCCCCTCTTTGTAGGAACACACATACATGCACAAACTGCTACAAATGTGCATTTTTCACTAAATCATAGTAAGATATTAACATCTGAAATGGCCACGTTTTGACATAAACTCATGTGTCTATGAATCTCAGTTCGACTCTCGTGTGACTAAGAAGAGGTCTCCAGCCGCAAACCTTCACGTCTCCAACTTTAAGCACTCCAGAAACAAAGAATACAAGTCATTCGCTATCAAACACGATCAGGTCATTTCTCAGTGGGTTCGATGAGGAATGTGACGAGAACAGCTGAGTGAATCTTGCTCGTTTGCTGTTTGAGCCCGTGAGCGTGAGCCCACGTGCTGCTCCTTATAAGCACAGCCAGAGACGGACAAAACAAAAAATAAATGCCAGACAAAAGCACTGGAGATTCGCCATGCAAAAAAAAGTATTACTGCAAATGCTCTTGAATAACTGGGCCAGTATTCCTTTGACTCTGTGGCCCTTCCACAAAAGAGGAGCTCTCAGGGGAAATGCAGACTAATTAATCAGATAATAATGATGGCGATCCTGTTCCTGATGATGATGGTGAGGTGCAAACATTTAGGGCTCATTTTCCAAGACATAAATTAGGATTAGTGAGTTCTGAGCACTACATGAGGAGAGGACGTCCCAAGAAAGACCTTTATGATGTGAAGTGACAAGATTATTACATTTTCCTTCCTGAAAACCTCTTTCTGTCATTTTAGGGCAAGAGCTAATGAATATTGTCATTAATGATTAATCTGACATTTATTTACCCAGTTAGTCCATTAATCCCTGAGCTGATAAAATGAAGACGACTGCTGTAACGTCCTACAGTAGGTGGCATCTTAAAAATTCATATTTTATCTGATCAACACTCCAAGACATTAAGTTACCGTCATTTATGACAGTGATACGCAAACATGACATCCTCTCATTTGAGAAGCTGAAAACTGAAAAAGTTTGTTATTCTGCTTTTAAAAAATGACTGAAAGAATTATTCAGTGAACTAATAGTTTCCAAAAGAGCTGCAACTATTAGTCAATTAACCGACTACTGATCAGAAAATAATCTGTGCCTGTTTTTATAACTGACTGATACTGAATTGAAAATCTTTGGCCCTTGGACTGCTGGTTGAACACAACTAAACATTTCAAGACAACTTGAGAGATTAACTGAGCCACAGTTGTTAGTTGCGGCCCGAGTTGCCAATTAATTTTCTGTTGATGTACTAACCAGTTGACTGACTGATGGTTTCAGCTTCAGGACACTTGTCTGAGAGTAGTTTTGGACTAATCACACAAGTTAAAATACTAAGATTTACACAGGCAGATGTTGACTGGATTTCTGATTTGTGACGGCAGCACTTTGAAACATCCTGTGTGTCATGTGCAGTAACATGTTTACATACTGTAGACCTTTGTGCGCCCCTATGTGAGAGCATGTCCATCAGAACCTATTGTGAGAGATGAACAGAGATATTTACAGATTTCAGTTGGCATGGCAACAAAAAGCAACAGCTCGCAGTATTTGAAAAAATTTCCATACAATGCTCATGTCAGTTGAAAAGAAATACAAAGGGCGTTTAAGCATTTCTTTTGAAACTGGCTGCACTCTGACTCGCTTCGTCTCAGTAAAAGGCTTGTGCTTATTCTGTGCCGCATGTCTGTGTCTGTTTCTGGTCCTGCTCCCCTCCTCCTCTGTAGCGTCCTCTAATCAGGACATAATGAAAGCTAAACGAGGTTGTATCTCCACACTGAGGGCCGCTGGATTCTCTGAGCACTGGCAGGGCTCTGAGTTGTGCAGTAAAAAGGTGAGACATGGGCAGGAGGACAGAAAGAGGATCATTCTGTGTCCAGCTTGAAAAGAAGCAGCTACACTGAGCCTGTGCTACTGTGCTCTGTCTGTCTGTCCCGTCACACACTGAAGCCGCCTTGTATGCTTCACTGACATATAGAAGGGACATTCTCTGTCTGCGCATCAGCCACCATCCATCCCTACCCCCACCCAGCCTCCTGTCATTTAGCCCTATGCCTGCCCCCATACAGAAACTTGGCACACCCTGGGAGCAGCTGCAGCGGGGCTTCCAGTGCTCGAGCTCCAGAGACACGTCCCCAGCCCTGCAGCCATACGAGGAGGCAGTGACCATTGTGGGTGTTTGTACATCGTGTGTTAGTGTGTCACTTTTCCACCAGCCCAGGGTGGCCTATTTATAAAGCCCACGAAGGCAAGTGAAATCAAAAATCATGCTTTCGAATACAGTCACATGCATATAAATTGGTTGATTTGAGGTGTGTGACTCATCATTAGAAGCAGCTTGTCTTGGCTGATGTTTTGTTTGTTGTTTAAATTTCCCAAGTGGAGCCGAGTCAGGGGGAGGTTTCCCCCTGTCTTATGATATTAGCTACAAAGTGTGTGCAGCTCTCTCCAGTAAACAGCAAGGTACACTTTTGCAGCCAGACTCTGTCTTTCTCAGACTTTCCAGTTTAATCTTATTTCAGCTCAGCATTTGCTGGGTGGGCCCCATAAAGAAATCAGGCTGACCTGAAAAATGTTTTCCTGACAAATATACTGGACAAGAGCAGATACAGGAATTAACATGAAAAATCAGGAGTCACAGACAAAAGCTAATCAACAACACATTTCAGGCACCAACTGCGCCTGCACTGACAGATCACTCCTGCCCTCTTGCCCAGGGGGGTAACATAATACTGAATGGAGATCAGAGAACTTTTAAAAAGGCACTTGGCCTAAATCTAAATTGTGTGTGTGCATACAGGTAAAACACCTGTGGTGGATCAGTGCTATTTGCTAAGAGTAAATTGGTGCCAACACCTCCTCTAGTTTGTTAACACAAAATGTATTTCTGCTTTCTGAGGTCCAGAGAGACTCTGTCCCAGCAGGGTGGGTGGGGGGGCGACATTATTCCCAGAAGGTGCTTATTTAAAATGGTGCTTGTCTCCTTGCTGGCACAGCAGGCCCAAAACGCAATACATGTGCACAGACACACGTGCACAGAAAGAGAGCTGCTGGGGCTCTGGCTGACAGTTCCTCAAGTACTTGTTTATCTTCCGTTGCAAAAGAACAATGTGTGGCTTAACCCTTTAAACACCTGCAGTCTCACTACTGTACAGGACGACGTTTGGTGACGTGACTACTGAATACCTCAGCCCTTCATCCAGACACATGTACAAGTGAAGTCTGAGCACTAACTGTGGGCGTACGTCGCTATCAGTCCCGAGCAGACCCTTTTGTTTCCGCCACAGCCCCTCACGTGGTCGCCAATTACGCTCAGCTGCCACCCTCTATCAAATGTAGAAATTAATTAGAAAATGTTTCTCATGCAGCATCATTCTTAAATGGACTTAGAGCTTAATGTCGGAGCGTACACAATAAAATGCGGCAGAGGCAGACCATCCTGGACTACACAGGTGTTGCCAGAGCAACGAGTGCCTGCCAGCCGATCCGCATCCTGCCCAGGACAATGAAAAGTGGGGTACAAACACTCAGACTGACTGCCACACAGTGAGATGTTTCTGGAAAAGCCAGACATTCGAGTATTTTTGATCCCTGTGTTTGCTCTATCAGGGCAGGACCTTGCTAACGCACGGACGCCGTCCGTTTTACTCGCTTTAGATGGGACAGTGAGGGCGCGTGCCCTTTGATGAATCGCTGACAATCAGACCTGCTGAGCCTCACAGCAGAAAGGCGGATCTGACATCTGACACAAGTTGGGGTTAATAGTCTTTAGCCCCTCAAGGGGCACACCGGAGTACCCTGACATACCCGACCCACAAACATGCCGTTGCATCGACGCGCGCGCACACACACAGCATCACCATACCAGGGAACGTGATGCACTGTTCAAACATAATGTTGTCAGTAGTCAGTTATCTCGTGCTTTTCACGAGGCAGCGTGTCCCTGGCTGTACTTCAGCCTCACTGGCGACATGGTTATTATGCACGATAGTCTACCTTTTGGAACTGCGATTGCCAGGAGGCACCCGCGTTGCTATGGCAGCAAGGGATGAGAGTAGGGCTGCTCTGGTCGGGATGTGGACAAAGTGAAGCTTTATCAGGAAAGATGAGGGTGATCCGGGACGATAAAACACTGTGACTTGCAATTTTATTCATGTGACAGATGCATGTGTGCAGCCTGAAATAATGACAACTTATAGGCGGCAACGGGACATCTCGTGCGCATGTACACGCACATTCTCTCCCTATCACACACACACACACACACACACACACACACACACACACACACACGCACACACTTTACCGTCGACTTGACCGGGACATATAGGACGGGTTTCCCTGGAGCTCCCTTTTTGTTGTGCTCTCCCAAAACGTTGGTCCCGACCTGAAATCCTTTAGACTTCACCCAAAATTTGAATTTGGCGTTGATATGGCTGTTGTCGACATAAACGCCATCCGAGTCGTCGTTCTGCAACAGTGTCTGCATGATTTTGTTATATTTTCGCCGAGTGACGGTCTTTGTTTTACCGGAGTCTCCATACGTCCGGAGACACCAGTCCTGAAATTCACTGAACATCTCCGCCTCCAACACGACCGGACTCCGGCTCCTTTTGGGCGCATCCACGCACGCTTTTTTCGTTGCCATTGCTCCCCCTCTCCCTCTCTCTCTGTCTCAACACGTTCAAACAGCCCAGGCTAATAAAGAATAGACTTGAACGGGTCGATTTTCCTGCTCTGGTCCCCGCTGTCCCGTGTCCAGGCGGCTTAGTTCAGGTTTTGGGACGCTACCTCCCTTGGTTTCCGAGTAAAAGTGACCCGGACAGCAGCACACCTGTTTGCAGAGGAGCAGTGCTGTCCCGAACCGCAGCGGTGAAAAATGTCACTTCCTCACATCATCCGCTTAGAAGCAGAGACGGGGGCTGTCCTATGCTGAGCGGGTATCTCCCACCTGTGCGTAAAACGTTCTTCACTAAAGGGTAGCTTATGGAAGAAGAAAAAAACCCACAGTCCTCGCTAAACAACAAAGAACACAGAAAAAAGCGCGGAAACAGACGTGGCGCTCAGTTCCTATCGACCTACTTTCTAACCGCCAACAGTATATTCGGATGCGGGTTGCTCAACCCTTAAAAAGCGCAAAGATGCTGATGTGATCCAGTATGGCCACATATCCGTTCAACATGCGCCATCTGGGACTGTTTCTGCTGCTCACACCTGTTTGAATGGGATCCCGTAAAAACACACTCTGTATAAGACACACTGGCAACTGGATTAGCTTGCAGCATAGCCAAGGTTTCCCGTCTCAGAGAGAGAACATATCGGACTTGGAGACTTAGAAGGCGAGAGGAGGGTGGAGCAGAATTTATCCGAAACAGTCTGAAGACTGTGCTAGAAAGCAGCACAATTTTTTTGCACTTTGGAAATATGTTTTGTATGAGGCAGCCAGTGATTATGGCTACTTAGACAAAAAACTACAAAAAAAACTAAAATGCCTCGTGAAAGGACAGTTTTGTCACATACCATATAGCAAACAATTAGATTCTGATTTATAATCTCTCTTTTTTTATTGTGATGTCACCAAATGGTGCAACATATTGTGTGCATGCAAATTTGGACAAAAGATATTTTGACAAATTAATATGATTAGTTTAGGAAAGGGTCTTTAAAGAAGCAAAGGTAAATTACATTTTCAACACTGCAACATCTGTTGAAGTTTTAAAAAAAATCACATATAAAGGAACAACCTGAATAAATGAGTGGTCTTTTCCAGGATGACAGTGCTTCCATCCACGGGACACGAGGGCTCACTGAATGGTTTGTTGAGGATGAAAACAATGTGACTCATATGCTGTGGCCTTCACAGTTACCAGATGTCAACTCGGTTGACCTATGAGAGATGTCGGAGCGACGTGTTAGACAGCGTCTCCACCACCATCAAAACATCACATGAGGAAATATCTGTTGGAAGAATGGGGTTCATCCCTCCAGGAGAGTTCAGAGACTTGGAGAGTCAAAGCCAAGGTGGAGCTGTTCTGGTGCCACGTGGTGGCCCAGCACCTCACTGAGACACTTTGTTGGGTTTTGCTTTCACTGATCACCTGTCTGTAGGACATGTAGTACTCACATGTGCACACATGCTACAAACTGCACTCAGTCAGTATCTGTATTTGCCATATGTAGTTTTCTCCTTGTGCGTTGTTGTGCTGTCATTGTGTGTGTGTGTAAGAGAGAGAGAGACTCCTCCTGGCCTGTGCATTATAGACCCAAGCTGGTGGTGGTGACTGCTGCTGTTGCCATGACAGCAGCGCAGCAGTGTCTCCGGCCGTGCAGAGGGTGAGTGGGATGCCCCGTCCTCATCTCTCCATCCTGACTCAGACAACGGTATGCCGGACAAAAAAAAGCCCCACCCTGACTGAATGACAAACAGCTCAACAATGTGAACAGATTGTCAGGTAAAGAAAAACTGGGTACATATGTTTGTATGTGTGCAGTAAATGACCGAGGCTTTTGCAAGCTATTTCATTTTATTTCATCATTTGGTCTCATGTTGTGTCCTCTCTCAGGACTGCCCTGAATGCAGGATGAGCTCCAGAGGGCTGCCCATCCATCCCTCTGTGGGAGAAACATCTCAACACTGCTCTTATTTTGAAAGGTTTGGTTCTACAGTTTATTATTGTAAGATGCAAATGATCAATGATGCTCAAATACTTTACTTAAATAAATGTTTAGAGGTATTTCCATTTTTCCTCGGGATTGTCATTTATGCTAACTTACTTTACAAGGTGTGAACTGACTATTATTTTCATTATCAGTGAATATGCCAGTAAGCTTCCCAATTAATCAATTAATTATTTAGTCAAAAAAGTTCTGAATCTAAAGTACAAAATTAAATCTGTCTCCTTACAAATGCCTTGAACATGTTTTAGAGTCCATGACATCTTAAACAGGCATTCCACTGATTTTACACAACAAGTCATGGTTAGCACTTAGCCCGAGTGTGACTGAATAATTGTTTATTCAATGTTTATGTATTTTTAGCGGTCTTTAATGAACACCATTTCCCATAAGCTTCAGATGTTTGTAGGCTGAACATCACGTATGATGACCTACACCGCCACTTCTGTAATATTTCCAGTGGTACAAAGTAAACCGTCAGTTAAAAATCACAAAGGTTTCCATTTCTTATAGTTACTGCTGTAGTGGATGCCAACTGGCCCTACAGTGTGGACACTAAACTCCAGGAACACACTTCCTTTTGTCAGAAACATCAATTAGACAAAGTTCTTGTACACCAGTCAGAGAAGGTCTGTTGAAAGCTGCTATTAAATTGCCTCATGGGAAATGTACAATCCAGAGTTTGTGATGTTTGACCTGCAGATCTTGGTGTTTACTGTTTCAGTTTTCACCATTCTTTCTAAAACCTGTCTCTTCCTTCAACTATATGGAAGAACTACACCAAATTGCAGGAGTGCCACTTTAAGTACAGTAAAGTAGTCCTAGTGTGAAAATATGGTTACAAGCATTACCGGCTTTACACCTAACAACTTTTCAATGTCGCAGACATCGGAATAAAATCACCAGAGTTTTCCTAAAGCCGTGTCACTCTCCCGTCATCTCAAACATTTAGTGTAAGGCGATGATCCGAGCTGCTTTAAGCCACTCTTTTTCTCATCCAGATATTTCAGTAACATAACCGTGTTTAAATGTTATCATCAGTCTTTAGTCTTGGGTCGTGCAAACAGTGACATGAACATTGTGAACAACCAATCGGTGAGCTCTCTCCAGCACCAAACAGGAAACAGCATAGCGGGCATAGAAACAGTGGTAAATATGAAGGAGACTGAGGCGAGGCCTCAGAAGGCATGGCTCTGTTGGACTGTTACAAAGGAGGAGTTGTGGAATGACTGGGAGCGTCTGTTTGACGCGTCATCCACTTTGTACCACGATAAGGTTAACACACCTCGCTGTCCCCTTTCAGACAACCAGGGTCGTGTCCACATCCTGTGTCTTCTCTGTTTATTTCTGGCTTTTTTTCCCCAAGCAAAACATTGCACACACAAGTGCAGCTTATAGCCAAATGCTGCTTTTGTTTCCACTCAATTTTTCAGTTCTTTCTTCTTGTAACTTCCCACCAGGATTATGATGGGAAGTAGCCTCAAGAGAAATCTAGCTGCAATCTTGCAAATAGTGATCCACAGTTTTTGCAAAATCATAGTGTGTGACTAAAACTCTGTGTGACTAATGACACGAGAGGGTGTCAGACTTTTAAATGTCTTTTCTGAGTCGTATCATAATCTTCTAGTGTAAGGCCAGTATAAACGTCCACCTTTTAGAACCTTATTCAAGTAGAAGTACAGAAATATTTTGAACAAAATACACTTGAAGTGGTTGGAGGAGGCCTACAACCACAAAGGCAGCAATTCTAGTTACATATATTACCCAATCATTATGCAGTCTGTTATTATTAGGATATTATTAGAAAAGAGTATTTGTTCATTTTTAGCACTGAGAATATTTTTAACACAAACGGATCTTGGTTTCCTTTTACATTACATAAGCATTTTATTCCTGTTTGCATATTTTTGCTTTTGTATTATAAAAATAAAATAAAACAAATCAAATTTTATGTAGATCCATGAACACAAAGGCAGAATTTTAATGCAGTTTGTCCTGGAGAAGTTACAACTTCATACATATATACACTCAGACTGATTTGGAACAAAGCATATTTTATTTAAAGCTGATCCTATGTTTTGCATGTAACATCTTAATCAGCAAACTAGTTATAGCTGTCAAATGAATGTAGAATATTTTTAAAAGGTATATTTGTCACTAAAATGTGATTGCACAGAAGTAGCATAAAATGTAAATATCCAAGTAAAGTGCAAATACATCAAAGCTGTACTTTAGTAGAGCACTTGAGTCAATGTGCAGTGGCATTACATGTTCATTGTCACCACTGGTGGTATCACAAAGTGCTGACAGCCACATTCAAAGGTTTCTCCTCCTTGGCAGTGTTTTCACTGCTAACAAAGGGGATGTTTGCACATATTGTTGTAAAGATAATTCTCATGTAGCAGTAGGGTAAAGAAACAAAATCTGTCTTGAATGAGGAGGGTGCAACAACCTGAACAGAGCAAAGCAAACAGAGGCAGGCAGTGACACAGACCAGTGAGTGTTAGACTGAATAAGAGCATGAGACACAGACGCACAGAGGGGGAGTGATTGTGAATCAGCCTCAGTTAGGGTGACAAGTTTACCCTGCTCAGCCCAGTGTTAGGCTCAGTGTGATAAGTCTGAGTGACAATTTGATAACTACTGCCTCCTGATGGTGGAGCTGAAAACTGCACCTCCTTTGTGTCACCTATCCTGAGCCAGACCCGTCCTACCCAAGACCACAGCATCAATAATACACCTTTCTCTCTCAGTTAACAGCAGCACTGGTTTATTTGTGTTGTAATGTTTGTTGGATTTAAATAACAAAGCATTTCTCCTTTTAGATTAAATGGTTACTTCACTCAAAATAGGCTAACATTAAAAAATAATTTACACTTACCTATAGTGGTATCTAGCTGTAAAACTCATTTTGGTGATATGGTGAGATGTGCAACAACTGTACTGTGTATGACGTGTTCAAAACACACACTACACATGTACTATATACTATTAAACTATGTATTATATATACTATACTATATACTAATACACTATGTATTATTGTCATGTCGCAATATTAAAATTATATTATTAGCGTGTTCAAATGAGTTTTGCAGATATTTCAATATAAATGATAAAGATAAAACTGTATTAAAACACAAACTATGTGTACAATAACTTGTGGGTTGCAATGTAAAGCATTTCATTATTATAATGTAAAGTGGTTTTTACTCTTCACTCATGTTGCATTTGATGTGTAATGAGATGTAACCGAGTAAAGGAGAGAGAGAGAGCGTGCTGACAACATATTTATTGTCTTTTACTGTATATCAGCTCTCTCTTTGTCTGCTCCGTCAGCCACAGCATGGAGCAGCCAGAAGTTGCATTACCAGTCTGGCATGGTGAGAGGCTGCAGTGCGACATGAACACACACTGACAGTCTTATGGAGCCATGAGGCAGGGACGCAGAGAGCTGTGGGTCAGGGCCCAGGGTGGCCACAGGCCATCGGGACAGCACAGCCAAGAGACAGCCAGGAGACGACAGAATGGGCACAGTCACCATGGAAACACAAGCAGCCCAGGCAAATCATGGCAACTGGTAACTAAGTAACAGGAAACGACGGACCATAGAGGGCGATGAGTCTGGTTAATCATGAGAGGAGAGAGGAGGGAGGGACAATGACAAAGAGACACGGCCCACACTGCTATGGCTCACCACAGACCCCTCTCCTCCAAAGTGTGCGCTCACTCCCCCAAGCACTGGATTTACTAGACTGACACTAGATTGGTGACCGTGTGAGCTGGAGAGGCAGCCTCCACCCTTCTTTCACCAACATGTTCTTTATAAATCCATGAGGGGGTGTAAATGAGCACACTCTGCACATAGAGGAGAGAAGAGCTGGAGTGCCGCCATTAAACTGAGCTTGTGTGTGTGTGTGCATAAGAGAGAGTATTAAAGTGGCTGTAATCAGTGGTGGAGGAAGTATTCTTATCTTTTAAAAGTACTATTACCACTCTTTAATAAATACTACTACTCACAAAACTTCTGCAACGAAAATGTTACTTCAGTAAAAGTGTGTGAGTAATCGGCAACATGTGCTTTAATTATGAAAAGTAAACGATGGCTACTCAATGCAGAAATGTCCCCTGTCACTTTGGGTCATTATTAATCATGCATTCATGGTTTACTGTTGTAGCTGGCTGAGATGGAGCTAACTTCTGTTTTGTACATAACTGTAACCAATGACTATGTGAATTATGAATATATCTCCTTTTAACTTTCTCAATTAACCAGTTGTTAGGGCTGTAAAAATTCAGAAAAGTGTGAGAAATACCCATCATTATTACCCAGAGCCCAAAGTGGCATTTTCAGATTTCTTGTTTTGTCTGGCCCTGACCCAGGGACTTTATGTGTGGAGTCTGCATGTTCTCCCTGTGCCTGCGTGGGTTCTCTCCGGGTGCTCCAGCTTCCTCCCACAGTCCAAAGACATGCAGCTTAGGTTGACTGGCGACTCTAAATTGCCCCAAGGAGTGAGAGTGAGTGGTTGTTTGTCTACATGTCAGCCCTGTGATAGACTGGCGACTTGTCCAGGGTGGACCACGCCTCTCGCCCAGTGTCAGCTGGGATTGGCTCCAGCCCCCGCGACCCTATTCAGGAATGAGCAGTATAGATAATGGATGGATGGATGGTTTGTTTTGCAAATCTTAATCAGTAACCTTGGGTATCAGATAAATGTAGTGGAATAAAAATTACATTATTTCCCTTTGAATTGTAGCATGAAATGAAAATACTCGAGTAGGCCCTACAAGTATCTCAAAATATAATAAATACTAGTGTATATGCAGGCTACTTAGTGATATCCCACCACTTTTTACAATAACAGTGTTTCAAATCACAAAACGAAGGGGTTGCTTACATCGATGAAGCTAAAGAGCATTATCAGCTGACTTTGCAGCTGCCCTCAGCTTTATGGAGCTTTACAGTGGGTTTCAGCTCATTATTTAGCTGTGCACAACTGTTTTGGTTTATTCTCACTGCTCCTGTTGTGCTGTCGATGGTCACAGCAGGCAGCTGTTCTCACTGACAAAGCTCTAAAAACCCACTGTACACTACCTGCTCAGCACCGAACTGCAGGCAGACACGGTTTGCTTTGAGCTGGTGAAGATAGGGGAGCATTTAGTAGTTTAAGAGGCAGATATTTTCCTCATGAGATGGTAGAAACCAAAAACAGAGTCAAAAGACAGTGAATATTGAATGTACTTACTTATTATGAGGTGACCTGAAATGTCTCCAAATATGTTGCTCTGTAGCTGCTGGATAAGCAGGGGAGCCTCAGTCAAAAATGTTTGCATGGAGTGCTGGGCTTTTTTTATTTATTATCTTCTTGAGTATCTTATATTTCTTAAAAAAAGAAAGGAAAAAAAAGAAAAGTTTACTGTATGAACCCAAACATGCATATGTCAGTGTTCACAACTTGTTTCCACTGCCCTCAAGTGGCTACCCAAGTTTTTGTTGGTCTAAAGTTAAATGTGGTAAAAAAATAAATAAATAAAAATGAAGAAGAATACATTCAAGTAGCCTAAAGGTTCATGCAGAGAACCTCAGTGTTCTTATAACCAGGTTCCTATTACACATCTGTCTTAGAGAAGTTGCATATCTATCAGCACAACCTTCTAAAACTCTCCTGTCTGCGAGAGGCCCAGAGGAAGCCTGTTACCTCTATACAAAGGCTGATTGTGTGGGTGACCCCAGTGACCTAACCGCAAAAGCTTTATCTTTGACACAACATCTGTGAACATGTTAAGTGGCTTTGAATTCTAGTAGTCAAAAGTACAAGTTGTCAGAAAGCCAACTACCAAACATGACCCTTACCAGGTCTCTCCATTCAGTAGCTGATTCTGCATGCATCTCATGAACATGATCAACCACTCCCCCTCATGTGCATGGGATATATCAGTGCCACCTGTATTTCTGACCTTAATCATGCAGCAGCTGTAATGGGCTCACTGTGGAGATACACAAACAGTCCCTGCTGCCCATATGCACAACAGAATTCTAGCTTCTTGATGGGCTGTGACCCGGCACAGCTGCACTGACATCCGCTTTGCCATGGCCATGTAACACATCTGACTGCATTTGTCAGGCTTTGTCTTCTAAGCCATATCACTGACTTTGTCTCTGTTTCTTCCCCTTGTCAGACTCTACTTCCCTGTTCTCAGACCTCCTGTTTTTATTTCTCTGCTCACACCACATGACCCACTTAAAAGTAATTTAGTTAAAATCCTTTTGGTTGCACACCCTCAACTGACTATTATAGCAATTTTATATTTGCTTTTTTTTAATTTAACCTTTATTTTACCAGATTACGTCCCAGTGGGCAATAACTGTTGATGTAATAGTTCTGCTGGTATATATGATGTTTTCACTAAACAGTAAAAACCACACTAACCAACTTTTTGCTGTGTTGTGGCTAACATTCCCTCATCTGCTCTGTTCTTTTTTGTCATTGATGTTGTCATCCACCGAGTTGATATGCTTTGAGAAGAAAGCCCTGGCTTCCTTCGCTGGCACCGCTCCCAGCCATTGGTTCCGCTACGTGGATGACACATGGGTTAAAATCAGGACCCAGGAGGTAGAAGCTTTCACCAAGCATATCAACTCGGTGGATGACAACATCAATTTCACTCGTGAGGATGCCAGGGATGACTACCTGGCCTTTCTGGATTGTGCAGTCCACTTGGGAGGGGACAGAAGCCTGAAAGTAGAAATATATCGGAAACCTACACACACAGACCAATACCTGCTTTTTGACTCACACCACCCACTTCAACACAAACTGGGAGTCATCAGAACTTTGAATCACAGGGCAGAGGAAGTGCCCACAATGGTAGAAGGGGCCACGAAAGAAAAATTACACATCCAGAACTCCCTTAAGGCTTGTGGATACCCTAAGTGGGCCTTCACCAAAGCTAGGAAGAGACCCAACACCAACAGGGAGAAATCGGAAACAAGAGGGGATAACACTGTCATCCCTTATATGGCTGGTTTATCAGAGAAGTTAAAAAGGATCTTTCACAACCACAATATCTCAGTTAACTGTAAACCAGGGAACACCCTGCGGCAGAGACTGGTCCACCCGAAGGACAAAACACCCAGACACAAACAGAGTGATGTGGTGTATGCAATTAA